GAGAGAGAGAGAGAGAGAGAGAGAGAGAGAGAGAGAGAGAGAGAGAGTGAGTATTTGGTGTAATTTTAGAATGCCCTGTGTTTGTGCCAAAACACACATTGGGAGTGGATTCTAGGTGGTTGCTCATTATCCAGTTCTTACACATGAGAATCTCAGGCTTTCCATACTTGCAACTTAGTTACCATTACAAATTCTGGGAGCCGGCCATGCAAGGGCCATGCAAGGGCAAGTGGGTACCGGAAGGATTTGTTAGGTTGGATGATTTGACCAAGCAGGAATCTCTGTCATAGCCTTGTCCCTGTTGGAGCAGGATTCCCTGTCATAGCTTTGTCCCTGCTGGAGATGAGAGTTCTATACTTGGAAGTATTACACATTTCTCTTTATTCCCATGGGTGTTCTTTTGTTTGTTTGCATTTGTGTTTTTTTTTTTACTGTTTGCTGTGGTGATTAATCCCAGGACCTCTGATATGCTAGGCAAGTGCTCTACTATGGAGCCAGAACCCCAGGACAGTATTATTTTGTTCTAATCCCCAGCTATGGGTATAACCGACAAATCACCTGGAGTTTCTGTCACATAATTGGTGGAAAACTACCTATTTTAATTTTTGCATAATATTTTATTACAGCTAAAAATTAATCAAGTATCAAAATCAAAATTAAAAATGCATCAAATTCCAGTTGCTTGAATTTTGGGCCTGAGAAATACTGTCCCCCGTGTGTTAAGTAGTCAAGTGTACAGCTATACATGCCTAGGGTAAGACATAGATGCACTTTTGTTCATTAGACCATTATCTTTTAAAAGATGCTTTGTTTTTTACATATAAAATGTATTTTTTTATTCAGAACATCATAGGTCTGAATACACAGGCTTCAGTGTGCATTTTGTTTATGGACTGGTAATGATTTACTTATTTATACAAACAGTTCTAATTTCTACCTTCACCACATTTCCAACAAGTAACTGTAGAAATGCTCCAGAAGCTGAGGCCTGTGCTGGCCACTGAAGCCTGTGCTGGCCGCTGAGGGCCTATGCTGGTCGCTGGGGCCTGTGCTGGCCGCTGAAGCCTGTGCTGGCCGTGGCCTGTCAGACATCAAACAAAAGTACAGAAGCTTTGCAAGTGTCTTCTTTTTTCTTTCCTTTTTAATTTGTTGTTTTGTTTTGTTTTGTTTTGTCTTGTTTTTCAAGACAGGGTTTCTTTATGTTGCCCTGGCTGTCCTAAAACTCACTCTATAGACCAGGCTGGCCTCAGATCCAGCTGCCTCTGCCTCTCAAGTGCTGAGATTAAAGGCATGTGCTGCCACCACCTAGCCTGTCTTCTCATTTTAAATAGATCTTTGTAGAGAATGTCTGTTGTATGATACCGTGCAAATATCTATTTAGTAACTGCCAGGCAAGCAATTTTCCTTATTCAGACATATTTCATGGTAGAGTCTAGTCCATCACCCTCCTTTGTTTACTAAACAACTCTCTCATCCATCCTTTCTGGTAAAATTTTGTGCTAGATACTGGATACACAGCAGTGAATAAAAGAGGCAAACTCCCAGATCTGATGGAGCCTGCATTCCAGAAGAATTAGGAGCTGTGTGACTACCCAGAAAAAGACACATATCTATGGCCTCTGTTTATTTGACATCTCCACTTAGATGGCTAATAGACCATAATACACACAGAATGAACCTGATAATCCCAACCTCTGCTGCCATAATTTTCTTCTATTCAGTTAAATATAGCTCTGTCTTTCAGCTATTCAAGGCAAACACTTGAAAGTCATTTCTCATTCTTTTCTGTTACACTTTACACCAACATCTCAATAATGTGATTATTGAGAGTGTCACCTGCCCCCTTGGCAATCGTGAAGAAGACTATGGCACCTTTCTACCCAGCTGTGCCTCCTATCTCTGTGCTATCATCTCTGGCCAGTGTAGCTGTAGTAGGTTACCATTCTGACAACTTGTTTCCTGCCTTGCACACAACTACTCCACCTACACTGTACTCCACCTACACTGTACTCCACCTACACTGGTTGGGTAAAGCCGTGACAGCCTGCTGGTGAGTATGGGGGAGGGGTCTAAGAAAGCACTAGGTAACAAAGAGCCCTGTCCTACTGTGTACAGGCTGAACTCGTGTGGGCCTGGAGCTACACCCATGGTTTGGAAATGATGAAGAAAATCAACTTTATCATGACATATAAAGATGGGAAGGAGTGTTTGGGTCCCCAGTTGTGGGTCTCTTAATGCTTCCCAGGGTTTGTGGAAACAAAGCAGTTCATTTACTTTTTGACTTATTCTGGTTAGAATCAGTTTTCCACCTAAATTATCTTGATTCATCGTTTTCTGTTGCTGGGTTGCTTTATTTGTTTGTTTTAGAGCAGTTTGGAATACACAGGAAAAGCAATCCAAAATTGTGTTAGTTCTCCGTGCCCTTTCTTCCCCTCTCCACTCAGTTTCCCCATCATTAACTTTACACCAGTTATATCATTTTGGCATCAGTGCAGTACACTGGGTGCAGGGAATGGACCAGTGCTTGTGTAGTTGGTTACTGAAGTCCACAGTCTGCATTGGGGTTCCCCCCTCTGTACTCTACATCTTGTGGGTTTTCCCAGGCATAGGAAGCCACACATCCTCCAACACAGTTTCATTCGAGAGACTTCCCTGGCTCAAATGTCTCTCTGTAATATCTCTTCTCTTCCTTCTCCCTCCTTCCAACCCTCCTTCTACTCCTCAGACCCCTTGGCTTAGCTTTTTACTCAACATGAATATAGATGTGCTGCCTACTTTTATGTCAGCTTCTGTGGGAAAGACACTCGTGGCGACAGGGTCTCGGGACCATGGCGGCGACCTGAGGGGGATGGGGGGGCGGAGTCCCAGAGGCTTTCCACACCGGCCGGTCCCACATACACTGAGAAGGTCCAAGGTTCCAGAGGCTGGAGGCTTTGGCGGCAGCAGGTCCCAGAAGACACGGGAAGTCCGTGGGTTTAAGAAGTTTATTGTTCGTGACATGGTAATTGCCCCCTCCCCCAAAAGCCGGTGGAGCTGGATTAAATAGGGAAGGGGGAAGAGGGGCTGGGAAAAAGAATGACTTAATTATACCAACCAACCACAGCTCCCAGGGTCCTAACCACCAGCCTGGGAGCACTTATGGAGGGATCCAGGGCTTCAGCTGAATATGTAAGAGTGGAGGGCCCTGCCGGGCACAGATGGAAGATGAGATCCTTGACCTCATGAAGGCTGGACGCCCCAGGGGGTGGGAAGTTTGAGGGTGGGGAAGTGGGAGTGGGGGGGTAGGTGGGGGTTACATCCACGGAGAAGAAGGAGGAGGGGTAAGGGGATGGGGGGTTCCCGGGTGGGTGGGGATGGGGTAAAGGGATAACATATGAAATGTAAATAAAATATCCAATAAAAAAAAAAGAAAAAAAAAAAAAACACTGTGGATGGGGCCATCCCCGGGCTGGTGGTCCTGGGTTCTATAAGAAAGCAGACTGAGCAAGCCATGAGCGTGGGACTGTGAAAGGTATCTTGAGTAAGGCTCGAAACCCTGAAGACCCTAAAGGGACAGTAGGTATTTCACCTGTTCTCGGATACCAGGCCCCAGTTACTAGCTGCAGCCCCTCATAGATTTATGGCCATCAGTCATGTAAGTGCAATGCCCTGTCTTGTCGCAGGCTCCCCAGCTTCAACTGTCCCGTGCCTCAGACTGCACTTCCCCACCCCTGGAGCCCTGTCTCAGGGGTTCCCTATGGTCCGACACCTACCCAGTGAAGGCCATCAACTCCTCTCATCCTGCCTCCCCAGCAGCTGTGCCCTGTGACAGAATGGAAGAGTGGACACAGGACTCTATAATGCTACACGTGAAGAGAAAAGCCAGTTAGCAGCACCCTCCATGGCCTCTACATCAGCTCCTGCCTCCAGGTTCCTCCCCTTTTTGAGTTCCTGTCCTGACTGCCTTCAAAGATGAACTGTGGTATAGAAGTGTAAGCCAAATAAACCATTTCCTCCCCAAGTTGTTTGTGGTCCTGGTGTTTCATCACAGAATAGAAAACCTGACTC